CGCGCTTTGACTCACAGCACTCCTACTCAACTCTGCATCTAGTGTTCTTCCACGGTGAGGATGTGGATCTGATGCAGCATCTGCCTCCTTTAGAAAGAAGTGATCATGTTGTGCTCACTTTCAGGTTCACAGAAACAACATCATGGGCAAAAACACCAGCTCAGCCACACGTTTGATATAAATGCTATCGTCTCAGCAGCCAACTCAGTGAACTGGTACATCAACCCAAAGTCCCAAGTAGAAGCCGCATGGAACCAATTTAAACAATTTTACGCCCAAGTAACTGAACCCTCGGTCTGTCTCAAACGGTTGGAAACATTGCCTCCCTTGGATAGACCGAGTGATTCGTAAGTTGTTAGGACGTAAACACAAATGTTGGAACCTGTTTGCCACACTTGAGACTCCTGAGGCCAGGAAATTATATAACATTGCTAGGAATAAAGCTATTGCGGATATCCACCAATCAGCGATGAAGTTCGAGGCACACCTGGCTCAAAATGCATAGGCCCAACGCAAGAACATTTCCTCGTACATGAGCTGCAGGAATAAAATATCCAGTGATGTCCCAAACCCGACTATGTACAATCAAGGAAGACCAAGAAAGAGCAGAAGTGATGGCTGACTACTTCTCCCAAGTCTTCACACAGAAGCCATCACTCCCCATAGGATCAGCTCTGCTGCATCATAGGAACACGGGATAGATTCCGTTGATGCCGACCAAAACATCAAGCTCAACTGCCTAATGAAACCAGTTGCAGAGAAATCAATATCCATCCAAGGCTTCTCAAGGAGCTATCCGCTCACATAACCAGTCCATTGATCACGATCTCCAATCTCTCTCTCCTAAATCGGCTAAAACTGTGTGACTGGGAAGACGCCATAGTAATTCTCATGCACAATGGAGTATCAAGACAAAGCCCTTTCAAACTATGGGCCAATCAGACTCACCAGAACTTTAATCAAGAAACTGGAAAGAATTATCAAGAAAAGTACCATGGCATATCTGGGAAATAGCAGCTTGTTATCTGGAGCAAAGCATGGCTTCCGGAGGAAACTCTCATACCTGTCAAACCTCCTGACTGCAAGAGAAAGCTGAGTCAAATTAAGCAGAAACAGAGGACCTGCTGACGTCGTCTTCATAGACTTCAGCAAAGCCTTTGATAAAGTACCTCACAAAAGACTACTGATGAAGTTGGAAAGTCTTGGTACCAAACCCAGATTACTAAAATGGCTTAAGGAATTCCTCACAGACAGGAGGTAGAAAGTAAGCATCAGCTCCAAACTCTCCCCTTGGCAGCAGTACATAGCGGAGTGCCACAAGGCACGGTACTCGGTCCTCTCCTATTTAATCTGTATGTCAATGAGTTATCTTTGCTCACTGAACCCCCTATGGTCCTATACACAGATGACTTAAAAATTTAGAGAGAGCTGAAGGGCAGCAGTGATACGTCCACGTTGTAAGAGGACCTCAACAAGTTCTCAGGGTGGCCCATAGAATGGATGCCCCCGATTGATGTGCCAAAATGCGCAATATGCGAATCGGACAAGCAAGCACCAGCTCCTACGAGCTAGATGGAAGAATACTTCCATCGATGCAAACTCATTTGGATTTAGGTCTCATAGTTAGCCACGATTTAAAAACTACAATACATGTACTGCATGTACTTTCAGGTCCTTATGGGCGATTCGCAGAGGCTTTACTAGAATTATCAGAGATATGTTCACATCCTTATATACATCTCTGGTGAGGTCAAGACTGGAAAACTACATCCAGGCCACCATTCCTTGTCTAAAAGGCGACTCACATATTCTAGAAAGGGTTCAAAGGAAGGCAACACGTATGGTTCTCGTCATGACTAACTTAACATACGGGGAAAGACTAGACAGCTTAAATCTCTTCTCCTTCCCATACCGTAGGCAGAGAGAAGATTTAATCACAATGTTTAAGATTTCAAATAGTGGCTAAGGACCTGACGTACTCCCTCTTTTTCTTCCCACCAGGTCGGAACACCTTAGAGGACATAGCAAGAGAGTTCGAAAGCCAAGGAGGAATCATATTGCTGTCAAATACTTGTTCCAACAACGAGTCATAAACTCTTGGAACTGACTCTGTCTGTGCTGTCTGTGCTACAGCAAGGCTGACTATGCTGAAATGCGGAGGCTCTTGTCCGACGCAGACTGGCCCTTAGCATGGGACGACCTATCTGTGGATGAACACTGGGAAGTGGTAAAAAAGATTATCCATGCAGCAATCTCGGATACCGTCCCTTTAGTCACAACACAGCCTAAGAGAAAGACGTCATGGTTGAAGAGAGGCACGCAACGTATTCTGCAAGCAAAGCGGAGGGCTTGGTTTACGTGGCGTGTATCTAAGAGTCAGACCGACCATGATGCATACCTCGAACTCAGGAACCGGTGTAATGCAAGAGTTAGGAGGGACAGAAGGTCATTCCAGGCTAACCTTGCTAAAAAACTCCTATCAAACCCTAAAAACTTGTACCGATTCATGTCGGAAAGAAAACCGACAAACCAAGGGGCATGCGCCTTAGTAGGCCCAAACGGTCAATATCTCACTAGTCTGGAGATGGCTGAAACATTCAGTTCAGCCTTCGCTAAACAGCTAAACAGCAATGTGGATATTACAGTTACGGACCAAAATGGTGGCACCACTATTTCAGAGGAGGAAGACCTAGCGACTACTCCCCAAATAAACCCCGCAATAGTACTAAGGAAGCTACAGCGACTCATACCTGGGAAGTCCCCAGGTTGTGATGACATCAGGCCATCTGTTCTGAAACAGTGCGCCGAGGCTCTCTGTAGACCCCTGTGCGACTTGTTCCAACACTCAATGGATTCGGGGACCCTGCCAAGGGAGTGGAAAAGAGCCATCCTTTCTCCAATCTTCAAGGGTGGGGACAGGCAAAACGCTGCTAGCTATAGACCAGTAGCTCTACTCCCAGTGGTATCAAAAGTACTGGAAAGTATTATTGACGACCACATCAGGGAATATTTCGATAGGACTAATATACTGCATGAAGCCCAACATGGTTTCAGAAAAGGCAGATCCTGCGTCACTAACCTACTGTCAGCTTGGGACGACTGGACATCATGCTGGGACTTGAACGTACCAGTCCATGTGGTCTTCCTAGACTTTGAGAAGGCATTTGACACTGTTCACCATGACCTTCTCCTACATAAAATAAGACAGGCAGGCATAGGTGAGCCACTTCTGTCATGGTTGAAGGACTACCTAGCCGACAGGCAATTTTGCACTAAGGTTAACCGAGTCCGATCATCTTGGCACAGATCGTCATCAGGAGTGTCGCAGGGTTCTATCCTAGGACCACTGATGTTTTTGATTTTCATCAATGATCTACCACGCCGTCTGAGCTGCCCGACTCTCCTGTACGCTGACGACGTAAAAATATGGAGGGCGATAAAGTGTCCGGAGGACTCAGATAGGCTACAGGAAGACCTAAACCTTCTGGAAGACTGGGCGGTGGCCAGTGGCATGACTTTCAACTTGAAAAAGTGCAAAGTAGTGAAGTTGCGCACCTGTAGACTGCAGAATGCAAGTTACACCCTGTGCAATGAAAGCTTGTCCTGCACAACGTCGGAACGCGACTTAGGTCTAGTTCTAACGGAAAAAATGGACACAAGCGTAAATTACACAGGGGATGTAGCGAGGGCATATGCGGTCATACACTTTACGCATAGACAGTTAGGTGCACTCACTCCTGAGCTCTTTCTAATGTTGTACAAAACATACGTCAGGCCACACCTTGAGGTGCATAATATTATTGCACCCCCAATGCTGAGAAGAGATGCCAACCTCTTGGAAAGAGTCCAACGACGGGCAACAAAAGGAGTGGTTGGTCTCCGAAACAAACCATATGATGAAAGGCTGAAGAAATTAGGCCTGTTCACACTTAGTTACCGTCGGCTTAGGGGGGATTTGATTACTGCCTACAAAATAACAAATGACCAGAATCACCCAAACAAAGGTGTTCTGCCATTGAGTAGGTATAGGCTTCCACGTGGAAATCCCAGAAGGATAGCTCACCAGAGGGCAAGGACCCGGGTGCGCTCCCACTTCTTTTCACTGCGGGTTTGTCGTCCCTGGAATTCCTTACCGGCAGATGTAGCTATGGCACCGTCTTTGGACGCCTTTAAGCGAAGGCTGGACAACCATGCAGCGATACAAGGACTGCATCCAAATGGCCTATCTCCTTAAAATCGCATTTACCAATCAGGGTAGATAATTAAACTCGTCATTTTACTTCTTTACATTCTCTCCCGTCTTACTCTCCTGACAACTTATTAATATTATAATTACTATTATTATTATTATTACTATTACTGATATATATATTATTCTTCAAACTTCATGAGCTGACTGTTGTTACGTTTCCTATTTTCGTTTCTGTCTCTTAGTCTGAATAGCTTCACTAATTATATCTATTATTATTATTATTATTATTACTATTATTATTATTATTACTATCTCTTTTCTCTTGTCGACAATACCGAAGGACTAACTGGCGAAAGGATCAACTCCAATCACAGTAGTAACAGTCTTAACATACCTCATACTACAAACCACATATAATTAATCCCAGCACTACTCCCTTTGGAGTCAACCAAAGCTACGACAGTCGAGTGGCGGGACAAGCTACGCAGAAGTTTACCGAAGATCAAGAACCTATACCTCACAATCAAGAAGCGAGCACAAAGAAATCAAATTGGTTTATACTAGCTCGTAAAAACGATATTGGATATTGGATATTGGATATTGACTCCCAGAAGAAGTGGTATCTGCAACCTCAACTGATTCATTCAAGAAGGGTTTAGACAACCACAGAAATTCACTAGAAAAGGATTAAAATAAGCTCCAAGCCTTCTCTCCTCAACCAATAAATCTGTAATCTGATACTTATTCACTACGAAGCTATTGAATACTGATCGTTGTACTTGTGGGGGGCCAGTCAAATTATTGCGTTATGTTTCGCTCGAAGATAATTAGACCTGTTCTGTATCAAGTCTGTAGGACCGTTACCAAGCAGCCATGCCCATGTGATGCTCCAGGAGGTGCGGGTTCAGGTCCGATATCCAAATCAGTGGACCCAATTCAGCAATCATTTATTGCTAGGTTACGCGAATATCGTCAAAAGAGCGAGTAAATATGATTCTAATCGTAAGACTTATCTAATGATTCTAGAAAAAGTCCAAATGGTCTAGCAGATGCAACACCAAAAGAAGAGAAAGAGCTCAACGAAATGCTGGCCAAGGTGGATCGTATATTTGGCGCAGAAGGAAAAGATATGACGCAGTTTCCTACGTTTAAATTTGAGGAACCCAAAATTGTCATGCCATCATCTTCTTTAAATATTGAATATCCGAAAGATCCGGAAGATACAGCCTAAGTTGTAAAGGCTATGTGATAATTCATTTATCATTTCTACTGTATTTAGTTGAATATTTGAACTAAAAGCTTAGATTGTATACTGTCTCTTCTCACAAACCTCTAATGATTTTGAAGCCTCCGGTATGCCTTATTATATCATTATTTTTAAAGGGATAGTTTGAAGTTACTGGTTTTCCTACAGGATTATGTCACTGAGGAGACTGAGGAGTCAGAAAGAAATGAAATCAGTTACTTTTCTGTCCTCTAGACTCGTATTTATAGTAACAAGATTCAATGGCTGCCATAATTATGAAATAGAATGTTCAATAGTATGGATAAGCTTTATAGGCAAACCTATAATGAGTGTCAAGAAAGTTGAATTATCCTACCTGTAGTCAAAAGTAGGTTATTCGGTGAAGTCTGTTTGAAGTAACTTCTAGGTTCTATATTGACTGAGTGGTTAAAAATGCCAGCACTCCTGGGAATTTATGTGGTTCAATTATTTTTCTTTTTGAGGCTTTGTCGATTATCTTCTAACACAATCATAGCTCTTCGAAGTTTTGTGAGGGTGTGTTTTGTAACATTTCAGGTAGGTTCCGTTAATTAAGTCTGTGGATCGGTTGTAAACGAAAGGTACTTGGAGGGATCATTTATCCTCAACCAAATAGTAACCATATCCTTTCTCAGTATATAATGATAACCCATAGTTGTGAGTCATTCCTGCGTATGATTTATTCTCTTTGGTATAAAAACGACAAGTGATTGTGAAGAGTATTTGAAGCGAGTCGACGAAGAGCCAACTCCTTGCGATCATCCTGAAATATATGTAAGTTTAGGGGTGTGTTTACTGCTAAGATTGATGAGCTTTTTCCACGAATATGATGTGTACAACTGTAAAGAGAGCAGAAGGCTAAATATACAGTAATTCTCCTGTAGAGCTTAAGCTCTTTAGTAGAATTGTGTAATCGTGAAGTTTGGCCTTCTGACTAAGACTCTGTGTTTGTCTTTTTAAGTATGCTTTCATCCGCTGGCAGTGGTGTAATTACTTCTTAGGTTCAATGGCCTGTGGGGATTGTGATGTAATTAGTGGCGTTGCTTATAACACGGGCTCTGCTAGTGCTTACATGTGTACGTATATTATTCCAGTTGTGTCCATTATCGTTCATTGTTTTATAGCTCTGAGACGAGTTAGGGAAAGTTAAGTTACTCAACCCGTGACTTGGTACTCTAGGATGAATAGTAATTGTGCTGGATTAACGTTAGTTGATTTCTATCTCCCGTGTAAACTGGTATATAATAAGGTGAGCAGTATTGCGGTTAGGCGTCGAGTGCTAGCTAAGGAGGGGAAGTCAATCGACGAGGCTGTGAAATTACATCGAATGAGATGGTTAGGATATGTGTTACGTATGCCTAGTCATCGCCTTCATCGATGGGCAATGTTAGCTGACATAGGGTCAGGCTGGAAATGAGCTAGTGGCGGTCAAACGAAAACATGGCACCAGTCAATGAAATCCACAACAGTTAATTTAAGCCAATTACGTAGGGAGGTGTAGACTTCCTGGTTGGGGTCCTCGGGACGGTTAAAACCAAGGAAGGCTGGAAACAATTGGTGATATGACTCGAAATCGTTCTCAATGGCTGACGCAGATGCATCCACTCCTTGTGACTTCTGACACCCAATGAAACTATATTGTTCTTCGTTATTACTATTCCTTTGTGTCGCACCTCTGTTTACTGTCTCTATTATGCATTTCTCCTACTTTGTTCTCTTGGTTTGTGTGTTACATGGAGTGTGGCGACTTGAACTGGCGCACATCGGTGCGAAGTTCTATGTCGAAAATAGACAGACATCATGGTGCACTTTGAATTGTTGGTATAAGACGGTTGGAGGCAATCCACAGGAAGCTTTTAGGCCAAATAAAGGACTAGACAGACTACACTAGTCACTGACTGGTGTCCAATCAAAGTAAACTGGGTTGGCATTCCACTTTGCTTTTCATTTAATTTCAACTCAACTTACTACATCGACTTCACATCATTGTGTTACTAGAGATATATGTGGCTCAGAATACTTTTACTACTAAGCCTAGTTAGGTGTTTGTTTTTAATTCACAGTGTTTTGGTTGTTGACTGTACGCTGTTGAAGATATTGAAGAATCTGTAAGGGGTCACCTGTTCCATTTATCTAGGGACTGTCGTTTCGATCACAGATGAGGCCGTTGAATGCGGCGTGAGTATTCTGAAACCATTTTAGAAATGTTCTTCACTCAGCATAAGGAACAATATCCTATTTTTCAATACTAATTTTAAATTATTGTATCTATGTAGATCAGAGACTCTGTGAATCTCAGAGGGCGTTTCCAACAGTCTGGGGACTTTCGTCAATAGCTAGCGAGAAATGGGTAGGAGTGTGGAGCTTTGGCAGCGAACCACTCAAGAGCTTATCACCGAACAAATATGATGGAAAAAATGAAGATGGATTGGACAAACGCTGCAGCGACTGTTAAATGACATCGCACATCAGCGCTTAAAATGGTAAGCGATGAATTGGGCATCCGAGTGTGACATAGAAGAGTTTGAAAAGAGGATATTAAGGCCTATGGGCACTCACGGGGCCAGCTAAGGAGGAGTACATAGAGCAGTGCTGAAATAAAGGTATGCTGCTAAAGACGTATATTCCACTCGAAACCTAAGCTGGTAATAATAACAGTAATATTCCTAGTGATCTGCTCCCTTTTTCTAAATTGTTGCGTGTTTACGCGCTTGACAAGTGAGTCAAACTCCAGATTTTGTCTACCATTACTGATATATGGGAATTCATTTAATGGTCTCATGAAATCTTTCTGGATTTTGAAGTATCGGATTTGGTTAGATCTACTTTATTGTTTGCTTGTCTGCTTTTATACTCCTTAATTATTTCCCTTGGGTTCCGAGTGGAATATAGGGCTTCAACAACACATCACCATTTTGTTCTCTTTGGTGCTGTCCTATTCAGCTGGGTCCGCGACTGATCATAATTTCTTATCTCCTTCATGTCACCCTAGCACTGACAACCCACTTTTTGCTTCCTATTGGGATTTCACTCGGGAAATTGCCTGGCGTGTGATGTCATTCGACGGCCTTCTCAACATGTACAAGATCCATCTCCTTTTTTATCCTACATCGGTTTTTTGGTCGGTTTGTTTCCAGTCAGAGTTTCTTCTTGTTCATTCTTTCTAGCCGGCTGACCATTTGATCTTCACTATCGAGCCAGTGAAGTCAGCTGTTGATAAATGTCTACCCTGTTTATCTGTTTTCAATACAGAACTTTCCACGGATGTGCAGCAGTTCAAGTCGCCACACTCCATGTAACACACAAAGAGAAGAAATGCATAATAGAGACAGTAAACAGAGGTGTGAGACATAGGAATAGTAATATCGAAGAACAATATAGTTTCATTGGGTGTCAGAAGTCACAAGGAGTGGATGCATTTGCGCCACTGAGAACGATTTTGAGCCAGGCATATCACCGATTGTCTCCAGCCATTGGCCTTCACCGTCCCGAGGACCTCAACCTGGAAGTTTACACCTTCCTACGTGGCTAAATTAACTGTTGTGGATTTCATTTACTGATGAAGCCATGTTTTGGTTTGACCGCCGCTAGCTCTCTTCCTGCCTGACCCTAAGTCAGCTAACATTTCCCATTGTCGAGGAAGGTGATGAGTAGGCATACATGACACACGTCCTAACCACCTCAGTCGATGTAACTTCACAGCCTCGTCTATTGACGCCTAGCCTCAAAATTGCTCACCTTATTATACCACTTCACACGGGATGTGGATAGAACGCAGGCGCCTATGATCAAAGACAGCTAGTCTTTTCATGATGTCTACGCTGACCTGTTGGAAATGATTTTCGTGATGTGGACTTCAAGTTTCTGACTTATATAGGAGAGCTGACTGACTTTTACGTTGATGTTGAGAATCCGAATATTGTTGTTTATGCTGATTGAGTGCAGAAGATTTCCAAACTGTTTTTAGGCGTGGGAATAGCGACTCTACGCCACAAAATCGATCAAACTCTTACAGAAACTTTAACGCACAAGAAATACATGTGAAAAATACAAAAAACATCCTTAGTAGGTCAATCCTATTTGACTTGGCTTCCTTGTAACTGAATTAATATCCTTATGTTATATTTGTCGTTATTTGGTTAACAAATACACACATATCTCTTAATTTGGTAGAAACTACAGGATAGGTTTGTTTTTTTTGTAGAATGGAATGTCATCTAGGTAGCCATTGAAAGAATCTCGAGAAATACGGAATTGATTTTGTCCTATTTTTGTTGTTGTTGTTGTTGACTGTACCGTTGTTCACTGGTGCAAATAAACAACGGGAATTCGAATAAAGCAAGACCAACAGAGGTTTGTGCCGGATAAGATGGTACCATCATCGTGTAAATCGTTAGCTTCTCATCAGCTGCTTATCGTCTAAATTAATTATGAAGTTTATGTACAGAAAATTTTTAACATATTAATAAATTTTAAATGAAGTCAGTTGACAGGAGATTCTGGACATAGTGAACAGTGCTCAGAAAATTACGCTTATACAGTTTTTAAACACGGAGTTCAGGTTTAAACAAAATAAATGTATGCATACCGTGGTAAAGGAGTTCCATAATAAAACACAAAATAATTGAGCAATGAATATCCTTCTCGATAATTTCCTTTTCTGGCTCTACAATTATATATATATGCATGTTTATATACATAGAATATTCTGGAATAGTAGTCAATAACAATATTAGTATGCTTGGTAAATAATATCGATTTGTAAAGTAGGAACACAATGGAATTATAGTTCATTAAAGATGCTTAAATAATAATAATAATAAAGATATAATAGCAAATAGAATATCAACTAAGATTAAGGAAACTTCTACGAAAAAATTGAGGATCATTCGAACCTAGATGGCCAAGGTAAGGACAATGTCTGAACTAACTTCTTTTGGATGCACAAATTAGGCCTCTTAATGTGA